TCTTTGTTTTCTATGTGGACGAGTTGAAGCCCTCTAGGATCATCAGCACTCACTCGCCGTAGTGAAAATAGTAAAATTGTTGCTAGTGGAATTATTTTCCACATTTGAGAACTCCTGAAGGAATATCTAAGATTTTTTCCAACAAAAGATGTTGTGTGGAGGAATATATGTTCTTCCTCAGCTGAGTTCAGCAGAGTTTCTCAAAAATTATAGAATTCGGGTAGAAGTGTACAGAAACCAATAAGAATTTTCATATTATATCACCGACGAATGTAGTCGACCATGCGCATCTTCTTCTCACGGAGTGATTGGGAAAAAAAACTTTTTTTCCACGTAAATACGTAAAAAATCATTTTTCGCGTGAATTTTTTTTTGTGGAATTATTTCATGAAAATCATTTTTTCCCATCCAATTTCCAACATGATAAATCCATTCATGTATCAAATACACACAGAATGTGGGGCTATTCTCCCCAAATTTCTGAAAAAAAAAATAAAATTTTAATACCACATTTCCAACTCAACACGATGTTATAACGGTAAGAGTCTCAGAGGTACTTTTTCTTGCTATGATAGTGAACAACAATAACCGCGCGTTTTCAGTTGTATATTTACATTGAAGTTTCACCCTAGTGATATGAAAAACACTAGTGGAAAACATATTTCACGACTACTGCATATCACCGCGAATATCGCGTTTTTCACTCATTACTACATGGGTGAAACTCAATCATTGTGATTCACGATAACAACAACAACAACAACAACAACAACAACAATATACAACAACAACATTTTTTTCTAATATACAACATATTCTCCAACAAACGACGGAGCGAAATCAAACGATTGGGAGAAATAAATAATTGCTGAAATCACTCTTCTTGCGAGTCTTTTTCTGGGTGTCTGTTTTCGAACGGATGCACCTGACGAAATTTCCAAAATGTGGTAGGAAAATAAAATAAAAAATAAATTGTCATACCGTAATTTCCACATCAGCAATCATGTGAGCTGGACCGTCCGCGAGAATGCGTTGCACTGATTCTGAATTTGCCATCAAAACAAAACCAAGGGAAGCGGGTCGCGATCTAGTTCTCCTGAAAAAAACCATGAAAATATATGTTTGCTTTTTTCAAAATTTTCCTCACTGATCCCAGAGTATACAAAAATCAATAAAAATTTCCCGCAAATTTTTTGTCTCGGAATTTTCCTCTTGTGGTGACCTAATTTCGTAGCGCGGTGACAAATTCTCACCCAGTGTTGGAGTACGAATATACGTTCGCTTTCCTCAACTGCTAAGCTCAGGAGGAGTTTCCTCACTAATTATAGACGTATACAAAAACCAATAAAAGTTTTCATATTGTCACCAACACATGTAATGTATTTTCCCACACTCCAATGGACTTACGTTGTATCGTTCGGACCGGGTTGCAGTTGCCGCGAATGTGCGACCAACACCTTCCTCACCTAAAACACGATATATTGGAGTTTCACGACCGTGATATGAAAAACACTAGTGAAAAACATATTTCACATTTCACTTCAAAAACGCGTAAAATATGTGTGGTGTTTTACACGTGATATGAAAAACACTAGTGAAAAACATATTTCATATTTCACTTCAACAACGCGTAAAACATGTGTGGTGTTTTACACGTGATATGAACAAAATATTTTACGACTATTGCAAGGCGCAAATATCGCGTAAATCACCGAGTTTTACGCCACTCCACGTAGAACGGGTGAAACTTCACTGTTATTGAGAATTATTTATTGGAGTTTCACGCGTGATGTTGAAAAAACACATTTCACAATTCACTTCGCGAAAAACGCATGTGAGCAGTGAATAACGTGTAACATACTTAATGTAAAATATGTTTTTCACTAGTGTTTTTCATATCACGTGTAAAACACTACCCATGTTTCACGCGTTTTTGAAGTGAAATATAAAATATGTTTTTCACATCACCGCCGAAACTCCATTATAATGAACATCACTAAAAACAAGTAAAATTTTGAAAAAATAATCGCAATTTCTCACCTGCCCATATTCCTCAAAATATTCCCTCAAAAACACCGGCGATTTGAATCCGAACTTGTGAATGCGGCGAACGATGAAAATGCAATTCTCATCTTCTTCATCGAGCTCTTGCAATAGCGTTCTGATAAAATTAAAAAATATTACGCACTAAGAAGATTAAGATATCACGCACTATGAAAGATATTACGCACTCAGAAGATAATACGCACTACGAAAGATATCACGCACTACGAAAGATATCACGCACTACGAAAGATATTACGCATTACGAGAGATATTACGCACTATGAAAGATATTACGCATTACGAAAGATATTACGCACTATGAAAGATATTACACACTACTACATCCTCGATGCGAAGGAGCGGAGCTCGCCGAACCCCCAACATCATACGCAATATATACAATGTCTCGGATTCGATCTTGGGTGCTTTGAATGATGACCCAGAATCCTAACCTACTGAGCTAGTAAACACTGTTTCGAATGCGAAAGTCATCAACCTTCGCTTCCTGGATCTACCAACTCCGAACTGTGCAGCCTTCATAATACAATTACAATTTCATACCCAACAGAACGATGCGTTGGTCCTTGTCGAAGTCGCTCTATTTGTATCGCATGTTGACCTCGCGCACGCACGCACACGAAAGCTCTCCAAGCACCGCACTATGAAAGATATTCATAAAGGAGATCAGCTATGCACATGGTCAACTACATGCGTTGGTGACAATATAAATTTAAAAAAAAACTCTCATTAGTTTCTCTACATTTCTAACCGAATCTCATAACCAATTTGAAAACTCTTGAGCTCAGCTGAGGCAATAAAACAAATATTCGGAATTTTTTCCCCAAACCCACCTCAACGTTTTTCCCGAACCCTCATGAACAGCAACTTGCTGCGAAACTTGTTGTTGCTTATTATTATGATGATGGCGATTCCCACGACGATATCCCTCTTCTCGTTGTTGCTTTCTCTCAGGAAAATTCCTATATTCCTGCTCCGAAATTTCTCGGAAATTTCCTGTTCGAGCGCTGTCGCCACTACCGGGCGGACCAGCCTTGTTCTGGCGAATATCCGCATAGCATAAATTTTCCGGATCAACCTGAAGAAAAAAATTTCTGACAAAAAATTTGTATTTTTTCTTACATTTTCTGCATCACGAACAAAGTAACCGACTGGAGGTAATATCATATTACCGGACGAATCTCTTTGGAGAACCATCGGAGGCGCTGAAAAAATTTCCATGGAAAAACAGTGTTAAAGGAATTTATGTTCGCTTTCCTCAGCTGAGTTTGGGGTTTCCTCACTGATTATAGAACTCGAAAACCAATAAAAATTTCCAAAAATTTCCCAAAATTTTCATTTTTGATTCGCAAATTTTCCCAAAAAAGAAGAAAAAAATGTCCACATTTTTGAAAATCCGTAAATCACAATACCATCGGCCGAAGAACCCAGAAAAGTTTCATATATACAAATTATTTTTTTCGCATCTACGAAATGAAAATTTTTCGGTAATCTTTCGCTATATATACCACGCCACTTTTAATCTTCGAAATCAGAAAAAATTCTCGCGAAAAGAATTTTCCATGATTTTCCGATGTATATTTTCAGCGGCAAACTTTAATCTACGGAGTGAAAAATTCTAAAAAATAAAGTTATATATACAGAATAAAAATTTTCTAAAATTTTGTGTTTTTTTTTCAAAAAAAAATCACATAATCCAATAATTTCAACGATCCCAACTATTCCTAATATTACCTATATTCATCGGGGACATTTGCATAGGGTTAATCATGGGCGACTGAGGTATTCCGCTATCCGAAGAAAGGGAGCAGACACTGTTCGTAGGAGAGCCTCCGGTACTACGCACCATCGCTGGATTGCCGATATACGCACCGTAGTAGGCCGCAGCTACTGGGGAGGGGGAAGGGTAACCCTGAGAGAAAAATATATGAAAGATGCACATGGTCAACTACATGTGTTGGTGATAATATGAGAATTCTGAGAGGATATTTTACGAAAAATTCTCTTTAGAAAAGGAAAAAACGAAGAATGAAGAATTTGTGAAACTTATAAATTTACAAATTCCCGATGGTCCACTCTGTAGTGGGACCATTTCAATGGAGTTTCACCCTTTTAGTGATGTGAAAGACAATAGTGAAAAACATATCTCACAACTACTGCATATCACCGCGAATGTCGCGTTTTTCACCGAGTTTTACGTCACTTCACGTAAAACGGGTGAAGCTCGAATACACTACCCCTAGCACGCAGTAGAGCAGTATGAAAAAAAGCGAAAAATTTTGAGGAAATTCTTGTTGGTTTCTAAACTTTTATCCGAATTCATGTGTATAATAGTGAGGAAATTGTCGAGCTCAGCGAGGAACAGCAAACATATATTCCTACTCCAACAATACCCAATGATTTACGTATGTTTGTTGTTGTTGTTGCTGCTGTTGGGGGATCGCTCCGTATGGAAGCTGATATACAGGAGCGCCGTACTCGCCCTGTGCTGGTGGAGGCGGAGACGGGTAGTTACCAGTGGTCTAAGAAGGAGTATTAATAGACGATTTATGAGGGGTGAAAAATTCCGGAAAATTTGACATTTCGAAGCTCCTACAGATAAAGAGTAGGATGGTCCCGCTCCCATGAAGGTTGGCGACGACGCATAACCCTGTGGCTGAGCACGCAAAAGGAAATTCTCTGCGATACCACACCTCGCGAAACTTACATATCCGATAGGAGCGTAACTTCCAACGGAACGCACTGAACCGGCGGGCGACTGAAATAGGAGGAGTGAAAATTGAAAATTGAAAATCGAAAGTTTCGAAATTTAACTTGAAAATTGAAAATTTTCGAAATTTCGAGTAGTTGAATTTCGAAATTTTCAAGTTAAATTTCCGAAATTTCGAGCAGTTGAGTTTCGAAATTTTCAAGTTAATTTTCCGAAATTTCGAGCAGTTGAATTTCGAAATTTTCAAGTTAATTTTCCGAAATTTCGAGCAGTTGAATTTCGAAATTTTCAAGTTAAATTTACGAAATTTCGAGTAGTTGCAAAAAGAAACAGGACTTCATTCCTAAAAGATGAAACCAAACTACCTGCGGGGTCATTTGAGGCGTCCCCGGTGCTATTGGATTGTACAGAGTTTGATAATAAGCTACAGGCGTTCCGGGCTGGGACATGGGCGTTCCTGGTTGTGGAGAAACTTGTCGGTTTTCGCATGAGCCGATGGGGAGTCTCTCATGCTGCTGCTGTTGTTGTTGGTAATATGCGTTGTTGTTGGTACCGTACATGTTATTATAGTAGAGGAGAGTAGAAGAGCCTTTACGACAACAAGAGAGGTAAACTGAGAAAAAATTTCCAAAATTTGCAACGCGAAAAAATATATTCTTAGCCGAAACTCATATAGAATGTTCTTCCGAAGAGAGAGATTCTGCTTAGGAGAGATGCCTCGTGAGTTTTGATCGTTTTGTGTATGAAGTGTTTACATCGCTAGGCATATCTTCTTTGCAAAAATTGGTGGAAAAATGACATACGCGGGGATCGAACCTGCGCCACTCCAGGCGCAAGTTGGGAGTCTTAGCTGTTGCCGCCAAACGGCGAGCGCCGAAGTGATGAGCACGTAAGTGCATAGCGAATTAGTAGTTTTTCTGTTCATTTATTCTGAGTCTTTGAGGAGAGTATTACGGCAGTATCATTTTGGTGCTTTTCCGTCCATGCCTGGTATTGCGCCGTGTGAATAGGAAACACAACAGTATCAACAACAGACGGGCTCTTACACTATACTGCTCCTTCTTGGAGAAAAGTCGTAGTAGACTTCGAACTCAGCAAGTGCCAAAGTGATGAAAGCCGTAAAGCTTCTTATGAAGACTGAGCTACGTTCGTACGCAAACTCAATGAGCGGAGCGAAGTGATTTTCTTTCCATGAAATGGAACAATGCCATCTCAACAACTGTAGAACTACAGCCGTTTACAGATAGCGTCTGCAAGGTCACCCCTACGCTTGCTTGAAGCGTTGCCCTGTCATCGTTAGTTCAACAGCCCTTGAAATTCTCACCGTCCATATCTCTTTTCAGCTAGTTTCTAGGCCCACGAACTCCGGTAAGGCTATATTCATATGAGAGACGCTAACGAAAGCTATAGGGTAACGCAACTCGAAATGAGGTCTACCGTCTTTTTTGTAGTGAAGCGTCACAGCGAAAAATGTGTATTATCTTGACAGCTGTTAATGTGTCCTACTAGATCTGGCTTGCTCATTACAAAGCATTTCACAATTAGTGAAAATTTGAGTTACGTTCATCTCCTGGGGGCGTTTCAACAGCGTTGCTCTCCGCACGGGGAAGAATCTAGTTGATTTGGGTTGATTTAGTTCACACTTTGATACCAGAAGTTGATCCTCATGCACCTTCTCGAGTGTTCCAGTTGGCTGCTCCTCGTGGTAGGTTTTATCGGAATAAATCTCTCACCGTTTATGCACTGGCTGTAGATACTCTGTGTAAGCAGCAGTGTCGTGAATGGTAGTTCGGTGACTTTGAATAACGGCATTGAAATGCCGGTTATTGGACTTGGTACTTTTATGTCTCGCGGAGACGAAGTGGAGGAAGCCGTGTACTCGGCCCTTCAAATGGGTTACAGACATATTGATACTGCTGACTTGTAATATAAGAGAACCTCTGTGTATACATATGGGAACTAAAATTGTAGTTGAGAAATAATCAGTGTGGGACATTTGTAACTATCAGGTAGTAGGTCGTCTCTAGGTACATGAACCATGAGCAAGTCGGGAGAGCGCTGAAGCGCGCTATTGGTGATGGAATCGTGAAGCGATCTGATGTATTTTTGGTATCGAAATTGTGGCCTACAGATTACAGGGCTGATCTTGTGCGAAACAGAGTTGAAAAGATGCTCGTGGATCTGCAAGTTGACTACTTGGACCAACTGTTATTGCATATGCCAGAGGCATGGGAGCATCAGAATGACTTGGAAGAGTAATAGGGAACTTCTTGTTTTCATTCCACTGAGCATCCATTCGAAACTTGAAGTTTCGTGTCGAAGCAGGAACACTTCATGGGGTCTTCTGGAAGTTTGGAATTGAAGTTCAGGGACGTGAAAAACACTTCTTCAACACGTTTGGCGCATGTTGGATTGGCTGGGTTTCAGCGTGTTTACCTCTCAGTTACAGCCGCTTTTTCCCCACCACTCCAGAGGGTCTCCCAGCTGTCAATGCGAGTCATGATCTAGGTGACACGTGGAGGATGTTTGAGGAGTTGTATGAAGAGAAGAAGGTGGTAGTTGAGATGGTCGTAGATGCTTTGAAGAATTTACCTTTTTCTGACGCTGTGTTAGACATAGACATGGAAATATACATATATGATAGAGCAGACCTGATTGCGAGTCACAATTCGCGATCTGTTGGCATGGGACGAATAGGATGCCGTTGAGGTGGGATCCCCAAGTTGGGGATCCAAGTTCGATCTCGCGTTGGATGATTGCGTTGGAGACGCCAACGCAATCAGCCCGCGGAGTTCCCACAATCTTGCTGTAATTTCTACTGCCACAGCAGACTGTTATTGATATCAGCAGTGCCATTGTTATTCTCCGAAAAGTTATTCATCCCGACATTGTTTCTCTGCCAAGTTGTTCATCTTCGAGATTTTCTCGGCGAGAAAACCTCGCAAATAACTTCGAGAAATTCTCAGAGTTACTTATCCGTGTGCTGAGAATGATCAGAACTCGGGAGAAAGTATTCACGGTCACTAGCGCTTCTTCACAGTCTGTTGCTGGGTCATAGGTCAGGAATGTTTCTCTGGCTTGATTTGTCCTATTCGGATGACTGAACGTTACGTATACGTAACTAACGCATAGTCGTCGTAATTTTTCGAGTGAAAATACCATAGTGGTATTCTCTCTCGATGTATGGTACATTATGTATCCAAACTGGATATCCAATAGAACTCATCGGAGCCAGGCCAAGATTGATGACGACAGCGGTCTATTTCACCTTGTTCAGTTCCGCTGAGTTGAGCGCAACGAAGCATAAGTCGGAATTGATCGTGAGTGTTTGAAAGGGCATCACGTACGATTGCTAAGCATTACACAGTGTCTCGTGGGCACTAGCTAGAGCCTTACACATCCAGTGGTCTTCGACGGTTCCGACTGAGTCATGTAGTCTCAAGATCATGGTTCCCTGTAGACGGAAGTCAGATCGGAGGAGAGTTGTGAACTGACTTTCCATGCTCTGCTGAAGACTGACATTCGATGGCAGTCGACCACTGATTTTCTGGACATGGATACCGCTTCATGAGAGTATCGGAGTGTGAAGCCCTATCAGCATTATTACTATTTTAAAGGAGAGTTACAATCCTACACTGGTTCAACTTGAACCGTTCAAGGACTGAAGACTTAGTCTACTGTGAAGGTCGACCTGTTGTGCTATCGAATGAGAAGTGTGTGAGAAACCCTCAGTGGAATAACTATTGGCTCTTGGCAACAGGATCGGCGCCGCCATCAACGCCATACTTACGTCTAACCGCGAGTTGATGGAGATGGTACTGTTGCACGAGTGCCCGGAGTGCCCGATGCTGCAAATATGAGCAGGGTTATTCCGCATACCACATTATGGTATGCTATGCAAGCTGGATAGAAGTCGCGGTCTCTTACTTTCTTTATATAAAGTAAGAAGCCGCGAGGCTTACAGCTGACATTTTGATCACTCACCATCTCCCAAATTACTCATCATCAATGATGATTTATCATTCACATTATTTACCATCTTCCAAATTGTGCTGAGTTTGGCCCGCCCATGCTCCGAAAAACGCCCAACCTGTGGTGTTGTTCACGCGTTTTGTTGCAATTTATCTTCTTGCTGGGAATGCTTCTGCTCAAGGTTCGTTCCATTGGAGTCAGCAACTTCGGTATCCAGCGAACGACGGACCTGTTATCCAAATCACGGATCAGACCAGCTGTGAACCAAATAGAAGTAGTGTCCTGCGCATTTGTGAGGGGTCAAGAGTTTATTTGTTGAGGTGCATCCTTTCCTACCACAAGACAAGTTATTAGACTTCTGCACTGCGAGAGGTATGAAGGTGGTTGCTTATGCTCCATTGGGAGCTCCTGGATACCCGTAAGATGCTGATACTGTTGTCAACTAGGAGAGCGTAGGTCATCTAGGTACGAGCATCCAGGACCCCTCCCTGATGTTTTCCATCACCCAAGTATAAAACAGATTGCTGTCAGCCATGCGAAGACCGCGGCTCAAGTGAGCCTGGGATGTTCCACTGTTTCCGGCGTCTACTTGGTTTCGATAGGATACTATTTATTCGAGCAGGTTGCTCTGCGCTGGGCTATTCAACGAGGGACAGTTGTGATCCCCAAGAGTGTCCGAAGAGAACGGATCGAAGAAAACCTGAACATATTCGACTTCGAGTTGTCGGAGGAGGAAATGGTAGACTAACGACCAAGGGCGTGCAGTGCTTCCCTCTTTTCGTGAATTTTTGTACTGAGAAGTTGACGTGATGTACTTGTACGGTTATTGACCAGGAATCCTGGTCCAGGTTCGTGTGCGGTTTCAAAACCTGACGAGCTCTTATGAATACATAGAGGTGAAGGAATCCAGTCCCGAAACTCTTGCATGACACTGATAAGTGCGTACTCGGAAGTGCTCACGGGGATTCAAACACCTTGTATGTGAAGCTCTTCACGACTCACTTCGGCTCAGGCTTCTATCAATGATATTGGTCGCGATCCGAAAGACCAAATTCGAGCTTTCATACTACCGTTCGCCGCGGATGGTGGGAGTATCTTCGATGACAGCGAGTTGCTCCCTGAAGATGAACTCTGATTTTAAATGATGAACATTTCTAAAGTTGCTTGCCTTGTATTGAACACGCCGTTGATTCCTTGTAATACACAACTACATGATTTTCTGGTCTTCGACTGCTGGGTTGGGTTGAAGTCTTTATTGGCGATTCTGCATAGCAACACTTCCATTCTCCTTCGTTCTCTCGTTTCAGTTCTCATACGAGCTCTTATAAACCCATCCTAAGCTTCAATATTGTCGGCTTTCCGGTTTGCTTCCGTTCTTCTCCAGAAGTTTATAAGTTCCTCACATCTCTGTCTGCTGGCCACAAACTGTGTCACGGTGGTCTGAGACTCTGAACACGGAGAAGGGAAGAACTCAGACTCCGAAATCTTTCTCCGTGCTCATAGGTTGTGAAACTTCAGACTCTGAAGTTCAGAGATGAAGCTCCGTCGTTGTTTCTCGAGTGAGTGAGCGCGAGCGAGATTGGATCATTGGAGTTGATGTTTCATTTTCAATCCACTGAAGAGCAACAGCATTAGGTGATTGCTACAAGTTCACAAAAGGATTTTGGTTTATGCTGTAATACGACATAGGCAGGAATCTCTCTCTTTCATGGCTGCCAGCTCTAGTGCGGCGTTTGACAGTCCTACAGTACCGCTCACAGTGGCGAACGCTGAGACTGTCGACAGTGCTCCTCGTATCCTCTATTCGATGGTCGCCAGAGGTGAAAACTGATATCTCATGTTTTTTGTCATCATCGATATACACCTCAGATAAAACTGTTCTGTGTGAATACGCGTTTGTCGGGGGAAACTTCACGACCGTTGCCAGGGTGAGAACTGGCCAATTCGACTGTCGCTTCGATTGAGGGATGAAGATAATCGACTTGATAGCTCTGATGTCGAAAGCCTATCTCCCAGAGCTTGAAATCCGCCTGAATGTGGGAAGTTTTTCGAGGCTGAAGGTTTACTCTTCGAGAATGGGCTAAGCTGGCTTGGTCAAACAACAGGTGCTTCTGGGGAAGATAAGCGCGCAGACGGCCGGTGTATTGGAGGAAATAAGAAAGAGTTATGTCTACGATGGGTGAGGGAGTGGATATTACACTCACGTCATAGTAAGTCATCATAGATACACATTTCACTATCATTCTCTGCTGACCTCCAGCAGGCAGCAGAACAGTCAGCCACCTTGCCGCATTACTTTCCTTTGCATGGCGGACGAGCGAATGGGCAGGTATTCATCTCACGCTCCACTTGCGGCAAGAAGCTTGAATGTTGCTAGAACCTTCCTGAACGATGAAATGTGATGCATACATGATTTCTCAGGCAGAGGCCTTTTAGATTCCTCGAGGATTTGAAGAATAAGTTTGAAGAACAGTGAGTCGCGCCTTGAATGGATGCGTTGAGCGGATTTTGGTAGGTTCAATTATGCTGTAGTGAAAGCAGCTACGCCTCTCCAGTTAAACGGAGAAATGCAGCACTCTGTGCTTGCGACCCTGATGGAGTTCCACAACTCTCCTGAGGTAGGTTACTTATCTTATTAACCGACCTCATCATTAATATCAATTTACTTATCGTAAGTAAATCGATAAGTTCACTTCCTACGACGTTCATAGTCTGCCTCTCTCCTCCATCAACCAAAATTGAGTCGCATGAACCTGTGTGTGCCACAAGAAATAATTCCATTGAAATGGGGAGATCATCTCATCTCGCGTCGAGATTCCCGAGATGTGATCGCGGGATCGAAGTCATTGAGGAATCTTCGAAGAGTAAAGATTGTGTGTTACTTCGCGACGTGGAAGAAACTGCACTGCAGATACGTCATTGCCAACCCGTGCCAGCGTTATATGGCTAGAGACTCATCATTGATATCATAAAAATAGTTTTTCCGATTTCCGTTCACACTGAGTTGTCATGTCTTCCCTGAGGAAAACTGCCATTGAATATAAACCTCCGGACGGAGGGAGTTCGAAACGTATACAGTTTGTTGATTTCAGGCCGATACCATCACTAGGGTGAGAGCACATATTGGTAATATCCATGACAACATGGTTGAAAATATTGATAACATAATTAAACGACAGGTTGGGATCAGATCGGATTCAATGGTGTCGATGTTAGTCGTATTCAGGAGAAAATTGAGCTCTTAGTCGAGAAGACTGATGATCTCAATCGCACAGCCACCATATTCCGCAGAGAGGCGAGATTAAAGACTTGAAAACGCGCCCTTGTTTGAGTTGAGTTGTTCAGGCAGCTGACCTTCGTCGACAGCTGTGGTGGAGAAACAAGAAGATGCAGATTCTGTTCTGTTGTTCCGTGCTGGTGAGTACCGAGACGAGTCTCTGTGGACCCTGGGCTGGTCCTTGCCAAAAGTGCGGTGTTCAGTTGGTCATACTTCTCGCTGGAATGTGGGTCTGCGGCGGCCCTTCTTTCAAGTCATGTCGGGCGTCTTCACTTCTATGATGATATATGTGAATTTTACCTTATGCTAGTTTCGAAAGTCCTTCCTGTCGTTGTGTCCTCTCAATGAGGTTTAATGAGGGGCTCCCACTAGAGATTATGAGGATGCTCCATCCGAATTCCGCAAGCTCAGGAAATTCTCCACAGTACTTATTTTGTGATTTTCATACACCTCAGCGGGATATTGGAAAAATCGGCGGAGTAAATCAGTTGCCTTGGGCAACTCAGTAAGTTTATTCACTCTGTCCAGCGGCTAGACTCTAGCCTGAAGGCTCTTCAGGAAAGGCAGTTTTGACATAGAACATCAGATTCAGAATCTGATGATCAGAATCCTATCGCATTTCAGTGCTTCAAGATTCTGCGCACGAGGCTCAACGAGCCTGAGTCAAGCGGGCCGCTTGAAATGGCTCGACTGTCACCGCCATAGACACGGCTGATGCTCGTGGGCTATGACTGCACATATCGACGGTGATGACCCATCGGATGTTTCAGGCCAGAATGTAGTACTTTAGCAATATCGTTAAGTCTATGACGCATCACAGTCAAAAATGGTAAGTGGAAATGAACTTCCGTCTGATGATCAGACTCTGATTTAATACCACTGAATCTAGACCTCACTGATTTCTTTGCGAATATCCTCCACATGCCCCTGAAGTGCGGCTTCGGTGTTCTTGAGCCTGACTCGAATCCTATAGAGCAGAAACCAGCAACTGATCTAGCATGAGTAATGTTTGTTAGCCATTTTCTGTACGGTTCTCCCAGATGAGGAGCTTTCCCCTGCTGTCATCCTTTGTGTGAACGCGCGCGTCAGTTGCGGCATCGATCACAAACGGTTCATTCAACGCCCGATGCAGCCATCCCAGTAGTGGAAGCTGTGACGCCCGATATCTCTTCTTTCTCTTCTCTCCAATGTCAATAATCTCACCTATGGAGTCCATCAGCGACAACGCACATGGCCCAAAACTATCTAAGCTATCGAAGTAGGTAAGGAAAGGCCATGCCTAAAGGCCAGTCAGAGACTTTCGCGTGAGTCACTAGTGATTCATCAGCACGATTATGCGCACAAATGCGATCAGCCACGGCCCACCAGATGTTTCGGAGCAAAGTACAGTGCTTCAGCGGCATCGTTAGTACTATGACGTATGCCAGTCGGCGCTGCCCAGTGAGCTGGGAACTGCGTACTGTAGATGTAAAGTACCCCTCCTGCTGTTGTGTCCTTTCTCAATATGGTACAGTGGGGCTCTCCCTGGAGATTATCAGAAATAGCGCTCGCGGTGATATTGCGGCTGAACACCACCGAATCGCCATCTCTGAGAAGATAATGGTGATCTCTTTCAATCTTCACCATCGAGGAAATGGGTCCGCCTCCCCCGACACAAACCTAAATGGGAGTTTGCCTCGCGACCTCCTGTGATTGAACACCACGTCGACCATGTTAATCTTTTTAGACAAGCCCATGCGCAAGGTGGGCTTCGCGGTTTTCCAAAGGTAGAGTGCCATATGGATAATTTGGGGAATATGACGTGCGATGGTGTGACGTCACCACGCTGACGCTGAACCGCGACGCCGCCACGAGGATAGTGCCATGATGGCGCCGCCATCTGAATTCTGCAAGTTCATCAGACTATCATCCGCTGGTCCATGGTGTTTGCCATACTTCCACGGCACTCCCCGCTGAGTCAACTGCTAATGAGCCCTCTACTCGACCGCGTGAGGATCGATGAAATGTTGCCGCGCCTTCCACGTAGGATGAAAGAGAAAAGGTTACTCATGACTGATGAGTCGTCAGCACGACCATAGCCGCAGATGTGGACAGCGACCACCCATTAGAGGTTTCAGAGCAGAGTGCATCACTCCAGCGGCATTGTTCATACTACGGCGACTGTCAGTCGGCGCTGCCCAGTGACCTTCAAGCTAAGTACTGTAACTGGGTATACTGGTCCGGGTCGCGGACTCCTGGATCACCGTCGAGTGATGACTACTCAAGCGTGAAGAGCGTGTGGTGGGGGCCCCACCGTGGGGCGCATGAGCTCGCCCCTTTTGACATCGAAATTGTACTGACTTGGATCGGAGCGATCTGAGTAACATGTAGTAAGATCTTCAGAGCAACGCGAACAATGACGCAATCCTTGATGAGAAATTACCTGGTTTTCAAGTGAAAGGTACTCTCGTTAGGTGGATATTCTCAGAAACCTTTTCGGGATGCTTGTTGAGATGTTCCCGAAATTTTAGAGTCGTTCCATAACATTCGCAGAATCTGCATTTAAATACCCACAGTACCTTCTCTACGGACCACTGTCCGTAAGCCCCTGTGCTGACCGCTTCACGGGGGATGAGAACTGGATAGAAGAAGCCGTTGGGTTTGAGCTTCCCTTTGACGGATCGCCCAATGAAAATGAAGTGCTGCCATAAATAGCGACACGCCCTCAACTTTGCGAGTAGAGAAAGATCCGGATTTCACTTTTCGGAATCAAAAAACTGACACCCGGATCGTTTTTATGGTTGCAAATCCAATTTGGATGTGCCGATTTGAAATGTTAGGATTCGCACCCTAATGAAGCGCGAACGTTACGAGATCAGTAAATGACAACAATTGAAACGAGAGCGTTACGAGATGCAGCTTGCCACATGCGGAAAAACGACATGGGGTAATGGTGAATGGGCAAGATCTACTCTTTACCTGAAATCAGATCTTGCTCACCTACGATAAATTTGCGTGCCTTAGCGCGCATTAGAAAAAATTGCAGAATTGTTCCCGGGATCGGTTCTTCCCGGGATCGGTTCTTCCCGGAAACTTCCCAGGATTCTTCAAAGGATTCTTCCCAGGAACTGGGAACATGGGAATAATGGTCGATTGTTCCCATCTGTGTGCAACCCTGGCACTTACTGCCAGACAGATCGAATAGTCTGTGGCAGAATCTCTGTTACAACTGTCCGCATAAGGGATCGGCGCTCATGGCTTCGGTGATTGGATTCGCAGGGACATCTCTCATTGTGTGCTATTTATTAGGAAATTCCTGATAGGAATTCTGGGAGCCGCTCAAGAGAGAGTCCCACGCATGAGTAGCCTGGGCTGTGAGCATAGAGCCTAAGCGGAGCCTTATAGACGCTTGCGGAACGTACTCGAAAGTCTGCATTCGGAGCCTCTTTGCCCACTTCTGCATAGACCGATCTCGATCCATCCTACACTCTACGGGACAGGAGACTCCACATCAAATTGTCCCTGCTTGGGGCGAGATCGAGTCTATGGCACAGAGTCTGTGTCGCAGACAGTGACACCAGATATTACCACCACCAAATTTCCCACCAAGGTCCTTCGTAAATCTTTTCATAGTGGTACAGCTGTTGCTCGTTATAGGCTATAACTTCTAGCCAGCGGCTATCAGTCCAGTATCATTTATCATTATGATAGGACCGAGAATAGCCCTGATAGGATCATCCTATCTATCTACGATGATGACCAAGGTGTCGGCCTTCTGTTCCATCACGGAATGATCCGGAATCGTCCCGTGCCTGCACTGGAGGACCCCCAGTACAGTCTCGGTCTTGCCAGTCGAGTAGACCAACCGACATAGGATCACAACCCAAATATCCTCGCCATTCGTCCTGCCGAGTATCAAGCAGTGAATGAGAGCCTCGGGAATCTTCCCTGTGATATGTCACGAAGGACACTCGAGCAGGCCCTGCTCGAGAGGACCTGCTTGTGGAGATCGATTCTATGGATTTATCCCGCTCTCCATTCTTCCAATCATGGGCGAAGTCTCTTAGTTGCAATTTCGGAAATTCTACCAAGCGGAGGGGAAATTGAATTTTCCCTAGAACGGATACCGAGAAATCCACTCCAGCCTATGTCAACATCAGGTCTGGGCATCGCTATAGTATGGTGAATCACCATTGGTTATTGGATACCGAGGGAGTCCCACGGAGGGACCAATATCTCCTAACGAGGTTTTGGTTTAAGACCAACCCCGCGGATAAGACTCGTCAATGAGAGGATAGCTCATCCTTCGCAGGATGCGCCCATGAGCGGCCGCCTGCGATTATTGGTGTGGTGTCATTCTCGCTGATAGACTCCACCAGATGAAAGGTGATTCCTTTATTCACCCTGCAACTTGCAGGCTACGAGTCGAGGACTCTAGTTTGGATCACAAGCATGCAATGCGGAGTATGGATCGATGACCACTTTCCGACTTTCGGACCCCACATCGCAAAGTGCTGTTGAGTCATACCGTTTCACTTCGTGTGAATCCCAAGTCAGGACTGTAGATGATGATTCAGACTTCCGAGAAACTTTCCGAGAGCTCCCTGGCAGTGCCGAGTTGGCACCGTAGGGTCTACTTCTCTTCTTAATCAAATGCGAACGGCTGTGTGTTATTTATTCGATTGATGATGAAATTCGGACAGTGTAGCCAATGAATGTAGTAACCTCAATCTCTTTCGAACAGGCGAGGTTGCTTGAAAACTTCCCGCACTATAGTACAACGTTCCCGTTCGGCGCGCGTTGACAGCGACAGATGTTGTCGTAGCTACGGTTCCATCTACATTCCATATCATCCACAAACTCCTGATATCGATGTTTGGAAAACTCGGGCGGCGAGCCGATAGCCACTGGCCAATAGCCAGCTCGTCACAGAGAGCTGTTGACTGCATTGCGGCGAGTCTCCGCCTGACCTGCTCACTCCGAACTCCTCAGAGTTTTTATTGTCTTTGCTATTTTTATTTATTGCTATTTATTTATTCCTTATTGTTCCATCGTGGCTTTTAAAGAAGATACCAAAGACATACTTGAGTCCGCTGATCGCCTTCGGCGACAGTACGACTTCTATGGTGGTGGTAATCGCAGCGCGAGACCATTTTCGACCAGCAGCTACCCCTCAGCGCAACTTGAAAAATGTATATCAACATCATAGTCAGTTACACACAGAGTAAAAGTAGTTCATGAAGTGAAGAAGCCACCGAGGATGTTGCGTGAGAAGCCCGGATTAGTGTTCTTCGAGTGATGGTCTCCCTCAATGACGCCGCCAACGGTGTCGGCCTTGTGTCTAACCAGTACAGGGATGGGCGGACACAGACCAACAGAGCTCTTATGCGGGAAGGTCTGAGACAGAATGAAAACACAACTCAGAATGCAATGAGCTCAGCTTTACTTCGAGACGCAATGACTTGAGGAGTGCCGGTGGATCGTTGTTCATCTTAGGTTGGTAGTAGCGGCGTTCAGCATGACTTAGCGGGGCTCTGTGGAGACGAGTGGCCGCGAGGGTCCTAAGATTGAAGCGGATGCAAGTTCAGTCGGAAAGAAGTAGAGATCACTTTCGAAGGATTTCTGCCTTATGTTCAGTTGAGCGGTTGTGAAGAGGAGTGGAGTGAGTCATGGTAGAGTTGTCAATGTCCCAGAGCTACAGTGATAATCCATGTCTACTTCGTTGAGCAACGACGAATGGAAATTTCAGCGCGCGCCACTGTAATCGATTATGACCTCAGTTCCCTCAACGGAACCAACTCGACTTCGTTAAGATATCGTAAGAATACTCAAGAGCGCAAGGACAGTAAGCTGAGACGCACCATTTGCGTATCATACAGTTTCATTCGTCGTCTCGCTCGTATCTCATTATTATCGTATATTCATCTACAATGCCCCATCACAACCACTGGAGGTTGTGTTGCGTTGGGCTATTATTGTGGTGTCTACTTCCTCTATACACGGAATTCCTCGGATACTTCTGCAGTTCGGAGAGCGGCTAGAAATATCATGATGTGGCTCGGAGAATGCAAGGGAAACCTAAGGGCTTTGTCGCTCAATTGGGTGCCTAGACGGATGGTATCACATGTCGACTTAAGATAGGCGTATCTTTTTTAGGGGGCGGCCACGAGTCGCCTCAGTTTTCTCTCCCCCTACGTTCTGGGTATGATCATTAACTAGTTCCCGGGTGTACATTTCAAGAGGATGCTCCCCGTTTGAGCAGGATGTACTTGAGCACAGAGAAACACTGTGGAATCCTAGCTGCGAATTCTCCACGCCGAATTAGGAGAGTATAGTAAGCGAAACAGAGGCCGGAGTGCCCACGAATGCGTTTCGTGCAATCTTGTTTGCATGTTAGAAGAGGTTACTAATAAATTAACACAACATATGAACGTAACTGATAGCTAACTCAACTCATCATAGCGTTCGACGGCTTTTCTTCGCATTTCTTGAGATGGGCTCCTCATCGGTAGGCGGCCGCTTCCGACTCTTGATCTCATCGGAGATTTCAATCTCGGATGGCACGATATGAACTACCACGGCAGTGAGGTTGTCGTCAGATAGAAGCTCATATGCTCGCCGAACGATGCGACGGGCGCATGCATCAGGTTTAATTAGATTGCAAGGTGACTGGGTAGCCAGCAGTGAGGCTATCTGAGGCGGAAAGATACCCTCTCCTTGGGAGATCGATGCTAAGGTGAAGGCAGTGTGAGAAACTTTTTTGAAAATATTCGCATAGTCAACTACATGTGTTGATGTCAATATAGAAACTTTGGGAAATCTTGGTGAGTTTTCGACGGCGTCTACCCGAATTTGTATGTCAACTTCTGTATCAAGTGAGAAAACTCTCAGACTCTGAGAGCTGAGGAATGCAAACATATATCACAACACTGAGTGAAGAAGAAGACGATTACAGCCGTACAGACTACTGCAGAGGAGACCCACCATGTCATCAGATTGGACATCAAACACTCCATCCGAAGCTAAGACCACTGTCCGATCTATCGCGGGGTCGAGGTCGTGTACTCTGACTTCTGGATGATTGTTGATCACCATTCGAGGACTCTTCAAAGGGAGGTCACCCAGCGAGCGGGAAACGGCCAGTCCCCATTGAAGCACCTGTGATGAACAACGATAACCGTTGAACTGACAATTGCTTCAATCGCGCTACTTTGTCACCAACAACAACGATTTCGGGAGTAAAAACCCGCCACGTGCCGTTGATCTCGATCACAATTCCTCCCCTTTTCTCAATCCACTGCCGCTCATCCTCCCGACTAGGCTTATGGTCCTCCGTCAACCTCACGCAGTCCATTCCACCGCTCCTGGTTAGGATAGCTCGAGAATCTCCCGCGTGCGCAACGAGTATCTTCAGCTTCTCCTCAGAGTCAGCCCACATAATTGCCATCAACGCTGTCGTTCCTGAGAAGAAATTTCGAAGGAACCGCTGCTGGTGATCGAAGGACACCATCAGGGATGTCACGAGCCGATGCCATCTGGAGAAAATCTTCATCAGTGAGGATGAATGCTTGCCGGACGCTTTCTTCTAGTCGCTGTTGAAAAGGAATGGTAGGGTCCCTTGCTGCAAGGCATTGGGATATGCTATTTCCTATGTGGTCCACCTGATGCAACATACACTCTAGAGAGGCGCAAGCTTTCCTATACCGCGGAGAACAGCGTGGGAAAGTACGCACATGGTCAAGTACATGTGTGATTGACAATACGGGAATTCTGAGGACGGGAATTTTCGGGAGTTCCTTATTGTTTCTGCACACTCTATCTGGGCTCACGTGCTAACTCCCATGTTGATGAAACTCCTGAGCTCAACTGAGGGAAGTTACATATATATTGCAACACTGGTTTGGAAGGCTCGGTCCTCTAGCTATCATAACATAATACGCCATATGTCAACGCCCTATGGCATACGAATAGAAGCTCACCGTATAGTCGGCACACGTCGAACCACTATGACCATCGAAAACGGCAACACCGTGGACTGGAGGATCTGTGTCTGGAGTGACGAGAGATAAGTCCAGCATGAACCTACTAGCGGCTCGTACGAGATCCTCGGTCCCTGCAAACAGCCTTACCTGTCCTCATTGGTCCTCTTGTTCCCTTTCCATGTGCTTGCTCCGACCCAGATTCTCATTCCAGAGTTACCGAGGTGGACCAACTTGGGAGTTCCTTTATTGATATCTTCTTTGCCCAGCTTATCCAACTGCTCCGCGTGGAGATGGACGACACCTGTCTGGTCCACGTGAGTCGAAGTAGAGACACAGATACGCCTCTCGAAGTTCTCTTGCAAGGAGCCTAGCAATGAAGCCAGTCCAGCAGTTCTTGGCATACGAGCCCACCCAAAGTCGTCTCGGCCTCTTCAAGTTTCCTCTCCAGCTCCTTCTTCTCCTCAACAGTCGATAGAGCTTCCAAGGCTATTCTTGTTTTTGCTACAGTCTGGCGTAATTCCAAGCGTTTCGAAGAGATCGTATGATCCAGTTCCTGAAGACGACCGGCATTCCATTCGAATAGGACGAGAGATGGAGTGTTGAAACGGAAATTGTCGTTCATGATCTATTGTTCGCACCCACTTCTAGATTTGCTCTATGGAGATCGGAGAGTTCCTCATGGCGCAGCAAGTGCTCTAGAGTGGCGAAACGTCGTCGGCACAAGTAACAGACCATCCGAGGGGCCTTAGTAGCATCTAGGCAACAAGTTGCTGATTCTTCAATGCAGAGGTGTGTCTACCTCCAACATTGGCTTTGGGGTCCGTCTCGGGCCTTTCCTCCGAGGTTGGCATGACTAAAGGCAGAAGCTCTACAGCCTGATTCATGTGCGTGAGCCACCGAATTGATCACATAAACTCAAACAAAGACAAGCGTCGTCAGGAAAGGAGTACGACAAGCATTTTCACGCGGGAAAAAACTCTTTTGGAGAAGTGACAGTATAGGAGGACCGTCCACCGTAGATGAAAGCATGATTAAGAGTTTACACGGGCCGCTTCTTTTGGACGGAATCCCAACGTCGTCTACAAGGGTGGACTCCACTATATGTATGCACATCACTCGACAGGATCAGGGAGAGGCAGGATCAGCTGTGCGAGCGTGAGCAATCGATGCTAATTCAGCAGTGCCGCCTGTAAGGGCCCTCTGTATAGCCAAGGGATACGGATCTCAGCATCCCAAAGTCTTCCGTTTCTCAAAGGAACTTCTTGCACACGTCGATGGAGTTCGGAAGCCGATGCCTCTCCTGCTGGAAGCAACCGGTTTGTGCAGCACGCAGGGATAAGTTGTCCATGCGTGCTCGGCACAGCTGTCACAGCATGGCCGTTGTCCAGGTTCTCTGAGAGAGTTCTTCGAAAATGAATTCTGTCAGTTCCACCAACTTCAGGGAATTTGTGAACCTAATGAAGGCAGCCAGACTCCTATACTGCGTAGCCCTTGTGGGTTTCCCTTCGGCTCAGTGCCAGCTCTTCCTGAAGCCGAGACGATTCGGCGATATCTCCGAGAAGACTCAATTTCTCACGGTTGAACTGCCCAAGAGTGCGAGCGGGCTGTCTCTCGGAAGCCCGGTCCCTTTCGTAACACCTGCGGGCTGCTCCCCTACGCTCAAGCAGACTGCTGATAAGTACTGTGTGAATGGAACTTACGATGCATCGGGTACAGTGGAGCTTGCTATGGACTTGAACATCTTCGACGTGGAGATCCCAACGAAGACGGTTGTGCTGGGCATAAAAACCACTTTGAATCAAGGGAATGCGACGAATTTGACAGCGATGACTGGTGGCTGTGCTATGTTGTTGAAGCAGACACTAATATTCCTTCTACTAGATGGAGTGGTCACTATGTGTACGTCAGGGGGCGGCCAAGGTAAATACGACCCCAAACTACCAGGATATGTGTCTGATATCACTTTGAGCGGTGAGCTCAAGCTGACCTCTGGCATCAAAACGATCACCGACTACAACTATTCATTGCCAGGATATGTCCATGCTGGTGAGCGTTTCAATATGGGTATGAATGCGTCCATTTTCAACAGCAGTGGGGTGCCGAGAGGGGCGGGCGTCAATTCAACTTTCACGGTCATGTTGCACAACATAGAAAGTTCTCTGTTCGACTGGCGTATCTTCCTCGGACTTCATACAGACAGCTGGGTCTATCCGCTTCCAGTAGTTCATCTCGATACGGCCATTGTTGACAGTGTCATACATCTCAAAACATAGTGATATTGCAGCACTTTATTAAGGTCAATGGCAATTTCGAGTGTGATCGTGAATGTGGCTTCGCCCCATGATCCTG